GCAGCTCAGAGGCGACACGGGGGGAGGGAATCGGAGCTAACCGAGGAAGGAGGCTGCTGTTTCTGCTGCCGCCGCCGCCAGCCGGGGCATAATACGGTAAATAAATACGAGCATGGGGATCCGCGTGTGAACGAAGCCCCCCTCCCCCTCCCCTTTTGCTTTCGCTCTCGAGCCGGCGCTTTTTTTTTCTTGAAATTTCACTCTTAAAATGAAGGTGCGTGTTATACGCCTGTGCGTGTTATACGCCGATAAATACGGTAAGTGGGCTAGAGCAGAACACTTTTCTTGATCCATTGTTTAATATATATTTTTGGTATGGTGTATAATTATATCTCAGAGTGGGTTAGCCTCTAACAATATTTCCTATTTCCTTATAATAGAAGCTTATATGAACTCAGATTGTTGCTGATTCACGTACTGTAGGAATCTTTGCTAGAGTTAGCAAATCAATTACAAACTAAGAATCATAATCTATTCGGCAGGGGAAAATGCTATTACTGCTTATTACTATTCTGTTTCAGTTCTTGGATATAACAATCTATAAAGCATGCAATGAAGAACACTTTTTCCCTCTGTTTGTACAGACTCCTGCTTTCTGTTTGCCTTCACTCACTTGAGGCTGCCTCCCTCCTGCCAGCAAGGGTACATGAGAAGGCAAGGGCTTGTGGGAAGTGAAAAGCTTCAGCATCAGAGAGTAGCAGCAGAGCTGGTTGAACATGCAGCTATGAAGTCTCAAGATGAACGAGAGAATGGCGCTATGCAATCCCACAACCAGCTGCTAAAAAGTTCAAAGATATCCAGTCATCAGCTGCAACATCTTAGAAGCACCAAGGATGAACTTTAGCCTGCACCCAACTATTTCGAAATTCACACGTGCTATAGACACAATACCATGGCAAAGATCTGCAGAGGAGTTCCAGCATCTGCTCAGGTTCCTAACCATTCCTAGATGAGGACCGTATCTCATCTGTACCATATTCTTGCACAAACCTGCAGATCTTTATGAACATGAACGTATACATTCCTTGGTAGGATTGAACAGATGATATTTTAATGGATGGTGTTAGCCTCTAGAGGTGGGAAATATTATGCGTTGTAAAGAACAGAGAACAGTGACATCTCCAGGCCAGTAAGAGTGAATAGCTGAGTCCTTTTATACCAGGTTTTCAAGATGCACTGTTACTATAGTCATTAGTGTGTTCTGTAGAACTGGCATGCTTGAATGCCAGCCTGTTTATTTCAAGACAAAATGTTCTTGCATGTTAACCAGAGTATTTCTTCTGTTTGCACTATGCCCCACTTAATTTAGTTTAATCATCTGTTTCCTATTTTATGTATTTTTCATATTTTTTAAGGTAAGAGTAGGTTAGGAATACTGTTTGCACTTTTTTGCACCTTTACCTCTAGTGCATTGATTACTCTGACTTTTATTGAGTTGTATGTAGCAAGCTAGAAATAATCAAAGCTTATTTCGTATTTATTTCTTCTAGTTGTTTGGCAGATAAAATGAATGACATTCATACATTTTCTTCTTCTGTCTCACCAGAGTCCATAACAGAAGTGCCCAGAGCACAGGTGGCAAGCAAAGCACACATCCTGCACATAAAAGATCCCTGCTTTGATTCCTGGCACACACTGTCTCAATATGATGCCCTCCAGATTCATGGACTACATTTCCCAAAATTCTCAGCCAGACATTGTCATGGCTAAAAATTAAGGAAAGAAAAAATCTAGCAAATCTGAAAGCTAGCTGCTTCGGGAAGGCTATACTAACACTACCAAATTAAACAAGAAGGACCAAAGTTTTGGGATAGTTCTACAGTTTGTTGGTTAGAGATGAGAGTTGCATTCCAACATATTTGGAAACATAAAATTAGAGGATAGATAGTACTGAGTTAGATATGCCAATGGTATTCTTGAACACAAACTAGGATTATGCAAAAGTGATATTTGATATCGCTTCTACTGGATATTTTTTATTTGGTCACGTTAACATATGTGAAGATCATACTATTCTATAATATAGGAAAATTTGTATTCCTTTCTTACAAGCACACTATCTAAATCTTTATATTCTTTAATTTTTGCAATGATACCAGATAATTCATTAATTTTGGGTTGCCTTTATCTTTTCAAATAGTCATTTCTCTGTATGTGTTTAACAATACATGTGGTTTAAAACCTGCTCCAGGGAAATGAGAGTGGAAGATAGTTGTTCATAATGTTATGAACACTACCCCAAATTGCCCGTCACTGGGATTACATAGTGTGGGAGAAGAAACTATGTTACTAAGCTAGAAACTAGCATAACCCTCATTTGATGACACTGATTCATACCAAGCTACCTCCATTATTCTACCATATTATATCTGTCTTTATTCTTGCCTGTTCTTATTGTCCAGATATTGTTGCTGTTTCCTAAATATGCATGATCAGTACAGATAGACTG